GAAATATTCTAGAATATTACCGTGGGAATCCACTTAAATGGGCAGGATGGTACGGCCTCGAATAAGGACTGCAAATAAATAGGACGCTTCGTGAAAAGTATCATTTTGTTTTGTTCCTTGAAAGTAGAACGCTCCAACTGAGGCGCTACTTACGGATTTCTGCCGACCGGTGGCAAGACCGACACATAAGTTTGCCTCTGTCAGTGAGGCAATTTTCGCACAAGAATCGATCCGCGTCGACTTTTTTAAACATACCTTTTACCTGATGAGTTTTGCAATGCTACCTGTATGATGAGTAATCTATCGTCAATGTGGAATGGGATATATGTCTCACGAATGAACATTTATATACGGTGTAAACCAGATATCTCGAAAGCGAAACATAAAGCGTACCCGTGCACATCATGCCATTCAGAATTTTTTTTCAAAAAGTGGTTCACGTACACCTAGATAATTGCCTAATTTCTTCCAGTTATCAGACAAGTAATTTTTCACCAAACATGAGGCGCCATAGCTGCACACGGCGTTCCTAGATGAATGACCTTTTTCCATAGGGAGTGTTGTATCCATCGCGTCCTCAAATCGGGTCTTTTTTTGAAAAACCGCCTGTTTGGATGGTCTTAAGCAGGACTCGGCCAGGAAAGCTGAGTCATAGGGAAAGTGGTTCCGGTAGTCGCCCTGCCAGCACTAGCCCCTCCTAGCCCCGCCTAGTCCCATTAAAAATGGCGGGGCTAGACGGTGCTGTGGAAGGGGCTTTGGAGGGCATTCAACACGACAGCCCCGCCTGGCCCCACCAGCGAAATAAAATTCACGAGTACGCGGGAACAGCAGAGGATCAAGTTTATTAGCGCAAACTGGCCATTTGGTGAGGGGACCAACTAACCTTTGAGCCTGGTCAACCTTTAATTAACCATGTCAGCCCCAGCCCCGCGTAACTCCCTCAAAATGGCGGGGCTAGAGGGGGCTATGAAGGGGCTTGGTGGGGCTGTAGAAGGGGCTGTGGCGGGGAATTCAACACGACAGCCCTGCCTGGCCACGCCAACAAAAAATGCGCAGGGGTCGCCAGATTTCCGCCCACTTTTGGCATTCCTTTAAAATATAGACCTGTGTGATGAGTCCCCTGAGGCGCGCACTCACATAATACCTGCTGGCAGAAGTTTCAGAGCTCAGAATAGGCATTTCTCATTCAGGGGATTGATTGCCAACAGCTGTCGACGTTGAGAGAACCTCAGACCGAGGCTCTTCAGCGGCCTCATAATATGCCTCCATCAGGTGGTACGGTGAGAGCCACAGTAATTACGCTTCATAATTGTTTTGGATATTCAGTAAAAAACAATAAAAAAATTCAATAGGTGGACTATGAACACCAATGCTAACTAGTACATACATAGACATACAAGACGATTACTTGAATTGGCTTGTGAGTAAATACCCAAACAATTAGCATAAGATACATAAATTAACTAAGACACTTATTAAGAGCATAAAAACAGCATTGGTTGACACACGATATTATCCGCGACCCGTGGGCGTAAACGAATGCTTTTTCCATGATTTATAAACCACTTTCGACAAATTAGCTCCTTTTAATGCCAAAGAAGGTACAATGAGTGGTGCTTTTGAAACATAACTTTCGATGCAAATTTGCATCGCATTAAAATGTTTTAATCCATAAGGGGCTCTGGCCCCGTCCAGCCCCGCCTATGAAGGGGCCATGTGCCGGCAGGGCAGCTATCAATTGTAGACGAACCCTCCTTTAAGTGGTATACCATATATGGTATTGTTGAGTGAAAAATATAATAAGTAAATCAAGAGTCTAGGCCAAGCCAAGTATTTTTCTACGATATTTGGTCCCTGAGAATTGTGCGGCGTTGCCCTTCTAGTGTGACGAGGATTGACATCAAGGACAATCCCCGATCAGTGTGGATATACGGAAATCTACCGAATATGGAGAACAACTAGCACGAACATTTCAGTGATACTTTCGACAGTCTGTTTAGGACAGTTAGATGCAAATGTATGGCACGGATGTTTGTCAATAGTCGCTGACAATTAATGATTGTATGTCATTGACGGAAGTGGAGCTTGGAAGTCAATTAGTAGTTTTTCGAACGGGTTGTTAGCTTCGACGCACTAACCGTGTGCTCAAGAGAAAGAGTGGGGTTTGATTTGCCATCATATCGAACGTGTGACGACAACATCATGGATTTCTTGCACTGTAAATAGCGGATTCCTGGCTGGGCCAGGGTGTGGTAGCTGACATCGAGATGACAGATTGGCCCATAGTCATTTCAGATCAACGCAAGTCGACAGGACTGCCTTCCATTTTTGGGAAAGCGTGTCCTCGTCCGGCTTTCTTTATCAGGTCAGTAAGAGAATGTCAAATTTGAATGACGTCACCTGCAACGCTTAGTGTCTTTTTTCATCTTTACCTTTTATTGATGACCAACAGATGATGATCTGCAGTGAGTTGGTTAGGATCTCGGAGGAGATGCCTCCAGTTGCTGATGGACTCAACAGCAACGGAACGACTTCGCTTACTTGGGGATACATAGTGCAGAAAGAACGATATTGATAAACAATTCCGGTTCAGTTTGATGATACTCGCGACGTCCTAAGCATGAGTTTCGATAGCCAACGCAGTATCACGCTGAGCAAAAGCGGTTGTGGCCCTCGATTGTTCATCCTTAAGAGATTTGGAGGCTTCTTTTACATATAGTGATGGGGACAAGATCTATCGTGAACAAACAGAGGAATTGGACGCCCATTGTCAATTTTAGGCAAACAGTCCCGCTGTTAGTGGACCATAGATCATCCTCGAGAGTCATTTAATGCAAAATCTTTAGGCTGTCCGAATCCAGTTTGAGGCCCCCTTTGTACTCAGCAGTCAAGAAGTCTACCTTGATTAGTGGTTACGATACTTTTGGCTTTACTGAAGGTCGATCCATACTTTCCGGTCACGTTGGGGAATTTTCGAGGTTTAACTTATTTTCCGAGAGACCTTCGACAAATGATGATATTGTCATTGCAAACAAACATGTCCTCCAAGTGCAAATTTGCTAGTGTCATAGATAGCTCCTCGAAACTCTGATGGTATTTTCTCTGCCCAGACAAGTACCGAGTAATAGGCGCTTTCGAGGTTTAGAGTACTGTACGCGTCACAACTCGCAACACGCTCGGTCATTTCGCCTATCCTGGAGGGGGATAGGCATCAGACACTGGGCACTTGTCAATAATCATTTGCCTTTTATAATTATTATTAGTTATAAACAGGATCCGGTCTCTCTAAGAGAATGAGGACGGCCCCATGACTCCCTCGGGAAGGAGAGGATGAATATCTTCCCCTACAGATCACTCATCTGCATTAATATATCGCCGGAATTTTGTTGCGATAAGCTCACGGTCGTGTGCTAGATTAGAAAACACGAGAAAGTTTTGCATAGGCGAAAACCGAATAACACGGCGTGAACATAGGTTTAAATCGAACATATGTAGTAGCAGCACTTTTACGGAGCCGGAGAAAGCAACGACCGAGCAGGACATCGGCGTACAATTTCAAAAAACCTCGAAAGCTTGGCCCTCTTTTAATCAGCGACTTAATATGTGGTCGATATAGGGGGGGAGGTATTTCATTACATGCCAACAACCAGGGCGGTGGTTACCGAGAATATCTTAGTGCTTGTTTTATGAATTCTTTCAGTTATTTTGGAGCACTACGAAAGACGAGTTTGTCTCTCAATACTTCCCGTATCTGTAAAGGTTTGAAATGAGTCCTGTCGATTTTAAGTCCAGCCACTGCTTTTGGAATGCATTCAGGAACAGCAACCGATGCCATGGCGGAAATGGGTCAATTTATGGAGAACGTTTTCGTTCCGTAATATCAGGAACTCGAACGGGGATGTTCGTCGTGTCCATTAAAGGAGCGTTTGCAATAGGAGTAACTGGCAGTTACTGCATCATGTGTCTTAACAGTATTGGATGAAGTTTCGTACCTTTCAGTAGCGGCAGAAATCGAGGCAGTCCTGGGGTTCTGATAAGACAGAAATTGTCCCATCCATTCCAATGGCTTGGCTCGATCCAAGGCAATTTAAAAACTTAACGCCTTCAGCTCCGATAATCCCTGCCGTATAATAGTAGTCGGAAGGCCATCGTTCATTTCCAAGATTTCAGTCGCAAGCATAGGATTTTTCAAACATAAGAAATTAATAGTTTTATTATTCGGGGACGTCTAAAGCATTTGGATCTACATGGAAGCGTTTGGGCCTGAGAAGTCAGTCCATTATTCTGTTGCGAAAGTAGTAACTTAATGTAGTAGATTGACCACAAGCGCTCCAGTGAAGAAGGACGAGTAAGACCATGTAGAAAATTAAGAACGATGGGGTATCATGGAGTGGCTTGTCAAAGCTGAAATGCGAAATGGAACAACAGTTAGTGAAATGAAATGGCTGACAGCAATAAATTACCACACCAAAGCGAGCCGTACGCGCCAGTGTAACTTGCAGCTGTACACAAAATTGCAAGTCGAGTCACCAAGACCTTCCAGACCTTCGACAGGCTACAACACTAAGTGGAAAACCTTCGCGAACCTGCGACTGTAGACGGCTTCCATCCCGCCTTTGCCCCGATAGGTGACGTTAGCGTGAAATGTGTCACAGTCTGACAAGAAGCGAACCATTCACCTAAGCTGTCTCTGAGGGTCTCTGGAGGTGAGCTACCAGGAAGGCATTTCTGACACTCAGACGCTGGGAGGGACAGGGTCCCTGAGAGTTTGTTTACGGTGATGTAGGCCCAACTGCAACGATGCATAGGTCATGAGGATGGCCAGGTGACTATTCTAAGACGACGTCGCTACGTTTGCTGGCAGGTATGGTGGATAGAAGCAGCGGCCCACTGACTCCCTGGAGGCTTCTCTGAATCACCGGCAGACAAATCGGGCAACATGGAAAGCCATTACGGGCGATCGACATGCCTGGCACAATTTTATAAAAGCCGGAGCGTCATTATTGGAGACAACCTGGGTGTAGGTGGACGTCACGAGGCCTCAGGCTCACACCACCACCACCACCACCACCACCACCACCACCACCACCACCACCACCGTCGTCGTCGTCGTCGTCGTCGTCGTCGTCGTCGTCGTCGTCGTCGTCGTCGTCGTCGTCGTCGTCGTCGTCGTCATCATCATCATCATCATCATCATCATCATCATCATCATCACCCACACCACTACCACCATAATAATAATATTCATCATCACTAACGACGTTCACCTGTACTCACTGGAGCGTTAAGTTGCAGCCTCGGATAGTTTTCTTGGACATCTTCGTGCTCACCGCAACGCGAACGCTACAACGAGACAAACAATACCCACCACCCAAATGTTGACTGTGCCAAGAGGTCGCTATTGCAAATAAACATTGAAATCAGCTGTCGCCCTGGTCGGTCTTTTGCGAATCCACCGCGGCGCTGATGAGAACCATAACCATGAGCACCGGTCACTATTCGTTATGTCTGTCTTATTTGCCTTTTACTGCCCTGCCACATTCAGACATAGTTTTGGTCTATTAGTTGTATGCGCGTACATGGCAATGCCCAACTAAACATCATACATAACTCGTGCTGTGGTAATGCGCTAGCATTTTCAGACTATAAAGCATCGTATGTGGTCATGTTCGTTGCTCAATTATGTGGGATTTTCCTCTTAGTGATGTATTGTTCATGCGGAATGATGGTTCAGAATGTGTGAGACACACACACACACAGGCTTTCGTGCCGCATGAGTCAATGCATCAAGTCCCACCGACACTGAGGCACTCGGACTTGCCACTTGGATGCCAGAAGAAAGAACGATCAATTCAACTAGGATTCTGCGCATTAATTTCTCGCCGTAAGGGATTTCAAACTACCGTGACGTGCCGAAAGCACTGAACGGGAATGTTACTAGCTGAAGGAATGAACCAATTCACTTCTGGAAGGAGAGTTAAATTCAACGACTCCCGTTAAGTGTGAAGTTTATAGCACTGCCCTTTTGAGGGCTCCGATGTCTCTTGTCGGGGCGCGTGTGTTACGCGTAGGCGCTTTAACCTCCTGTAAGCCACTCTACCGACGGCCATCTCCGGTCATATCATGGGCACATGATGGTTGTGGTAGGAGTGCGGCAGATGCTGCGCAAGTCTGCCGTACCATTTGCCCAGTACGTGTAAGATGTTTCGATCTATCAGATTTATAGTGTTGGATTCTAACATTGAAATTCGTGGCAGGGGTGTATCTCCAAGCCTATTTGTTTTTTTTTTCATTACCGGGCTTATGTAATTTTAATGCCCTGTTTATCACCAGTGTATGAAGTCCTCTTCACTGTAGTTGCTTCGATTAATTTTTTTAGAGATCTGTCTCCCAGTCTGCTGTACTTCACCCCAGTGCCGTTTATTCGACCGCAGCGCATATCATGGATCCGGCCGAAGATACATCGGACGACCTCTTTACGAGCCATCGAAGCTTGAGTGCTAATATTTGCTCGAAATTTTCCAACTTTTGGAATTCCTCAAACACTAGGAGCCCGATTTCCTCACGAACCAGGTATTTCTACCAGGATGACTGACTGTAATGTTAACACCACTTTAGGTCGAAGATGCATTCCCGTCCTGGCAGCCTAATGAACGCGACACGTTTTAATTTCCCAAATTTCTCCTCCTACGAAAGGCACCAACTGGTTACTACGGGTGGGGACACGGACTCCCTGCCATCACAAAAACCCAAGTCAAGTCTTATGGAAGAGAGTAATATAAAGTTGGAGAAGTTAGATGAGAACTCTCCTCTGATTATTCGGACGGATTCATCATTGCCGGTAGTTTTCAGTACTCCCGGCCCAACGTTTGAGCCCCTGACGCGTTCGGAAGTTCTTCTGAACGGTGTTCAGTTCACCCCGATTCCATTTACGGACCAGACAAACAGCTCGGGAGCGTTGACGGTATTCTTTCGTGGTTATTCAGCCGATTCCCCATTCTTATTCATCTAAACAACCTACCCGATACGCTCTCTCGAGCGATCACTGCCTTTAATTTATTTCCTTAACGCCTATAACCTGCTTGGCCCGCCCTGCTAAGACGTGAATCACCAGCTCTCAGCAGGTAAAGAGAAGGGCTGTTCGAACGCCAGAACCATTCTTTTATCTCTTTTGCCATATCGTACTGACATTTATTTTACCTATTCGAGGCAACGGTATTGAAAAGCTATATCTTAGCGCATCGGATAGACCCTAGCAACTAGGCATACGCGCTGAATGCTCTTCAGGTTGTCCTGCGCCACAGAACCTAAGGAAAAGACTGCAGCCATTAGGATCCAGAGCCATCCCCCTGTTTCCGCTTCACCCAGACTGGGGAGATTTCTCTGCTGGACTGAGTTCCGTCCAGTCATCTACTAATATATAGTATCAATGCATAATTGCATCTGGTCAGTGGGGATTTGCCGGAAGCTTACGTTTGTTCCCCAGCCACTCCCCGGAATGCCTCCGCCGGATTTTTCCAGGACTAAACCGTTCTGTGCACTGAAGACAGATCTGTACTTTCCCGCGTGACTTTGTCAGTGGGATTCCCCGTGATCGAACATGTTGCCTGCTGACACGCCACCAAAATTCAGGTCTATTATCACGACAAAAACCGCGGTCTATGGGAACGACGGGGAGAATGACTTCTTTGGTGCGACTTCTGGCGTACTTCAGGGCTGTTAGACCATCCCGATATTACATAGTTCATGGTCCATGTATCACGGATATAACTCCGCTGATGACGTTGGCATGCTAGCGGCGTTCTGTGCAGAAATGAAACACCCTAATACCTTAGATAGACTTGAAGGCGGCGGTTGAAGCGGATCTGAAAATAGAATCTCTAAAGACGAAGATGGTCGCCGCGAAATTTGTAATTGAAGACATCCGCCCGGTCAGGTCAGGAAATGAAAATCTTGGATTAACCAGCAGTTCCTGCTGCCTTACACCGAACTGTCCGCCAAATAGGCCACCGGGACTATCAGGTGCATGTGACCTTCATCCGTCTAAGCGTCAGGAATGATCGTGAGGTTAGGTTGAAGACCAAACGGCGAGTTTACGGGACCTCTGTCGTGACCATCCCTCTGGTCGGGTGTAATACTTGGCCTGCACCCTCAAAAAGTGTACCCCCTCTGCAAGTATTCAATCGATGGTGCTTGCTATCCATTCTCTAAGTTAGTCCTAAATCATTCCTTCCAAAATGGCCGTACGCTCGGTTCTGAACAGAATTGATCAACTGCACTTGCCTCATCCGTCAGCTGTCACGACCCATCCATTTGCTTCGACGATCTGAAGACACACTCGCCCGGGACGTCGTGTTATCCAAATGTGGCTCTGGCTGACGACGGCCTCGATGTGGCCAACTGACAACGTGGATGGGCATACTGAGACCTGACCTCAAGTAAACCACCGCGCGGGACTTGCGTGCCAACTGTCTCGGCATCACTCAGGAGCCTGCCGCCTACCGACTACAATGAAGGGCAATCATCGTGGTGCGGTAAACCTGCAGCCCGGAGCTGACTGGATAGGTTCAGATGGATGTCCTTGCTTGTAGACGTATTAGGCTGTCGTCGATGCCGCCGCCGACGTTTCCACTAATAGTTCGCCCTAACCACTCCTCTCCCCACCTAACTTACTTATTTTTGTCTCCTCTAAAACAGGACCGGATCTCGCCAATGCGCTTATCTTTGACAGATTCAGAAAACCAAAAAAGCCTGAGCTCACCCTCTGCTGACCAGCCCTGCGCTATATCTGCCGCTAAAAACGATAATTTATCCAGTGTGAGGTCTCCACAGACCTCTATTTCTCCCCTAGAAGTACCTCCGACGGCCATCGTCTTGGGTAAAAAGTCAGACGCCCAAATGAAACGTCGCCTCACGCGGCAATTCCGACCCAGTCTTCCCAGTCTCAGCGAGTCCTACATCGTACGTATTACTATTTACTTATTTTCTCAACTTTTGAATTGCTTTCTACGAACCGATGCCTTTGAGGGGAGGGGAAGATTTTTCGTTTAGAGGGAAAGGTGTGCGCGAACGTGACTTCAAATACGCATAACGCACCAATCTGGGCGTTTTGTGCCACTAGTGATATGATGTAGATCGTTTATGATAAGTGTCAGTTCATTTGAGTGGCGTGTCGCCATTTTGTTGCTGTTTGAGTAAGCACTATCCTCTGAGCTATAGAGTCCGCTTGATCGTTGATGCAGGTTGTGTGTGAACACTTTGCCTGAGATTGAATTCATCCGCCTACACGCTTCTAGTTTCTAGCCGGGTTCGAGTTTTCAACAAAGTTAGAAAATGTAGGCTGATTTTATGAAATATTTCAGGGTTAAGTTCAGTGAGCGTCCATCTACCATAATGAATATTCCCGATCGCAACCGATAGGACAACCAGCCCGTGTCTCATTGGTAGAGCGTTCGACTCAATGACCGAAGATCCCGGGTTCGAATCCCAGGTGGTTCACAATTAGAATTGGGTATGGCTGGCTAATGACGGCTAATAAGCCGGAAATGGCCATTCCGGTCTCCCTTGTCTTTGCCTGTATCACCATATCTACATATATCACGGACAGTTCGGCTGTCGTTGCCGACGATGTCCACCGTGTGCTCCACAGCAAAGTGAAGCAGGCCTGGTGACTTGCGCGTGAATTAATTTATAGTGATACTAGACTTGTGCAGCGTCTACCGCACTCCCTCCTCCGCTACCTGGACCCGGTGTCAAGGCTGAGTCAAGAAGACCGGAGGCGGGGAGGGCGCAGGTGGATGGCACGGTCGAGTCCGCACTCCGGCGCTGGTTCACACCCCCTGGTTCACCCTGAAAATGACCAGGATTTTAACCAACAACAGCAATGGGGAGGGCCGCAGCGGTCCCAATGTGCGCGACGTCTGCCGGCAACTGGGTCCGCCACCGCACGTCCCGAAATGTTGGCATTTGTTATGGTGCGCAAATGCGATAACGCCTGCTAGGATCCGATATAGCCCTCGTGTTGGCCCAGCGCGCCTACCATGTGGCCCGTTTGGGGGGGGGGGGACACACCATTAGTTGCTGTGCGACTGCCTGCGAGGTTTCGGTGAGTTCGCGTTCCTGAATGATGACGATAATTGTTCTTCTGCAAACGAAATAGCCAACTTTTATCCTGATATTATGGAAATTTTCACTATATTTGCTTCCTTCAAGGCTCGCACCTACGATTGTAAATGCACACCAGGGTGGTCGTATAGATGCTAAGATATTGGTAAAACTGCTAGTATTCTGCCCGTTCCGTTTCTAAATTACGGATTAG